ACAGATTTAAAAACACTGAAAAGGGAGGAAGGCTAGCCCTTCTAGTAAGCTTAGTACAATATTTTCCATACAATGCCATCTTGAGAAATACACTTTAATTATAATTAGAGAAACATGTGCATACAAAACATTGTAAAAGTACAGGGACTAATGGCAAATTTAAGTCTCATGGTTTTCAAATAAAAGTACTATACAGCAAGCAAGACTTAAGGCGGCTTTATCCTCCAGCTGAAAGAAAACATCCTTCCATTTATCAGGTACATTGTATATAGCCTTCCTAAAGTCATTTTTCAGTCTTCTGTGAATTAGTGTTTTTTGTCTTTCCTGTCCAATTTATGATCTCTTTCAGTCCGTGAAGATCTTTTGCCTGAATGACTTTCTGTTATAGATCTCTTCCTATCTATCCGTGACCCTTTTTCCCTGGATCCTTTTAAATCTTTGCTACTGGGTTTTGATGACTTACGATCCTTGTCCGCATTTGAAGTAACTCTACGTTTCCGATCTGAACTCCTCCTACGCTTTCTGTCCCTGCTGTGACCCCGACTACGGCTTCTACTTCGACTCTCACTACTGCTGCTAGTGCTACTGCTGCTATCTCTGCTACTACTGCCACTGCTACTGCTCGTGCTGGAACTGCTTCTACTGCTGCTACCACTGCTTGAGCTACTGCCACTGCTACTGGTACTTGAACTACTACTAGAGCTAGTGCTACTGCTGCTTCGACTCCTACTTTTACTCTTGGTCTTCTCACGACCTCTGCTTTTACTCCTGCTACTGCTCTTGCTCCTACTTGTGCTTTTCCTTGGTGACACCCTAACTGGCTCTACTTGTAAATCCACTGGCTGAGTACTTACAGGACTTGCTTGCTCTGGTTCATTCCCAACCGAACATTCAAGCTCTGGCTCAGGCTTGGGCTCGGATTCCAGTTTGTTCTTGAACTCAGGTACTGGCTTGGGTTCAGATTCTGGCTCCAACTCAGGCTCTGGCTCCGGCTCCGGCTCAGGTTCCTTACAAACTTCTTCTACTCTCTCCTCCCTACACTCATCTACTTCCTCCACCATATCCTGATCGTTCTCCACATTTTGGCTTACTTCCTTATCATCAACAGGCATACTCTCTGACTGGCTGTTGTTTTCCCCCTCCTCTATCTCCTCTTCTTCCTCAGCCTCCACTTCCTGTTGCTTCTCCTGCTGTTTCTCTACACTTTTAACTGCAACTACTTCCACTTCCTCTTCTGCTGCCTCCATTTCTACATCATTATTCTGGTTACCCAAATCCTCCACCTCCTCATGGTGAGCCACCTTACCCTCCTGTTCCTCGTTTTGTTGCTCTTCCTTCTGCACCTCTCGCTGTTCTTTTTCCTTCAGTGACTGACGTCTAGGTCTAACTTCCATTCTGTTAATTTGATCTGCAAACTCCAGGCGCCTGTGTTCAAAAATACCTGAAGATTCAAAAATAAACAAACTTGCATACAAAACTGAACACAAATACAATGTAGCACCATAATCAAAAAGAAATAAATTGTAATGGTGGTGTAGGAGAGCATTAAAAAAAAGGCAAATGAGATGATTTATTCTTTATTCATTCACAGGATGAGGGCGTCGCTGGCCAGGCAGCATTTATTGCCCATCCTTAACAGTTAAGGGTCACAGTGCTGTGGGTCTGGAATCACATGTAGGCCAGACCAGGTAAGAATGTCAGTTTCCTTCCCCAAAGGACATTAGGGAACCAGATGGGTTTTTCCCAACAATCAACAATGGATTCATGGTCATTAGATTCTTAATTCCAGATATTTATTGAATTCAAATTCCACCACATGTCATGATGGGATTTGAACCTGGGTCCCCAGAACATCATCTGGGTCTCTGGAGGCCAGTGATGATACCACTAGGCCATTGCCTCCCCATAGAAATGCTAAAAGATGACAAATAAGATGATACAAGATCAGTGATTTAGGTTCTGCTTAAATTGAGATCCATGTTGTAGGTAATATTCCTAGCTTTACCACAAGGTATGCCGATTAGAGATTAGCTAGTTTTCTTGCTGCTTAAAGAATTAGATATTCATAGGGGTGACACGGCTGAAGCAAACAGATCAAAAATGGCAAATACAAACAGGGAAGGCAAAACAATACTGGAGAAATATCATCCAAGGTTTTGAAAGGGAAGAGGGGCAGGGAAGCAGGACTTGCACTGCACGCTTCCCACAAATGAAAACATATCCTTTTTGTACATTTCAGTGCAGTGAGCAAAACCTGCAATCATTTTGCAAACAGCAATATTTAAAGAACTGCTTGACAGGAATAAGCAGTTTCTGTAGTTTCCCAGGGTACCAGAACTTCCAGCACTTCATTTATAGTTTGTCAATCTGAAATCATTGTTTGCTCAAAACCAAAAATCAGAAATTTGAATGGGTTAAATTGTTTTTTTAAAAAAAAGACAAAAGAAAGAACTATTTTAATTCAAAGAGAGAAATTCTAAATTATGAGTAAGAGAAACTGTTTCAAGTGATCAGACTTTGTTTAACATCTCATTGAATAAAAATATGACCTTAGTGATGGAACAGGACTAGAAATTGGAAGATTCGGCATTGAACAGCGGATACATTGCATCTTTAAAGTATTAAAGAAAACAGATACTTAAGAAACCCATAATTTGTGCTATTAAAAAGGTAACTACAGTAGAATAAGAGTTACTATCAAAATTAGTCAATACCTTATTAATTCACTAAACTTGTAATACCCAATGCATAAAACCAGTTAACAATCTGTAACAAAACTGTCAAGCTGCTGTCTTACAGAGATGCTTGTTTCAAATGAAGGCCTGCATACATTAGACTGAGAAATTAAGAATAGGGTGCTTAAAAAGACTTAGGGTTTGACTCTTCAACATGAAGTCCAGTGCTCTTCCAATTTTTTTTTGGAATACGTTCAGTTCCTTGTAACAGACCTTGCATAGTAAGATGATATTAATAATTGTAGCAAATGGAACAAAGTGAAACCTTTAAACACTCGGAGGTTTAGAAATAGATTGTTCTGGAACTTGAGTCCATTTGTTACGACAAACAAAATCCAATCAACAAGACAATGTCTAAATATACAGCCAAGGTCTCCCAGAAGTCTCATTCAACAATACTTTTTAATGAAGTTACTGTATAATTATAGATTAAAGCAGTATAGATTAGCAGTAAGAGATAGTAGGAACTGCAGATGCTGGAGAATCTGAGTCTAGGCCCGAAACGTCAGCTTTTCTGCTCCCCCGATGCTGCTTGGCCTGCTGTGTTCATCTAGCTCTACACCTTGTTATCTTAGATTAGCAGTAATATGTGCCAACCTTATAAATATGGCAATGGATTTGGAACCTAAATATTGCATATTTAAGTCTCAGGATAACTTGCAAAACTGAACTCAAAACTGTAGTTTGACATCAGAAGAGGTGACCGTGACAGTATTCACAAGGCTAAGCAAACAATCATTGGTCCCGCCTTACGGGAAAGCTGAATCAACATTGATGTTTTTAGATTAAAGTTATCAGGCTATCCAAGTGCATACAAAACCTTTTGTCCTTTCTAAACTGAAGCAGTAGATATAGGCTTCTAGAAGGATTGAAGGAGGAGATTCAGCCCTTGCAATCATCCAGTGGGTTTGATGCTAATGAAGAACAGCAAAAGATTGCAAGAAGGTTGAGCAAGCTGACCATAGCATCATGATGCAGTGGCCATACAAGATGTTTGGGGAGGGCAGTAGTGACAGTAATGGTGTTTGTTTTGGAGAGGGGAGTACACTATTCTCTACATTTGAGAGAGATGAGATATTCCAGAAAGCTGCATTCCTTGCCTGGTACTATTGGCAGAAAGGGAAAGGATTCAATTAGTCCATGCAGTTACCACTGACATCGTTAGAACTAGAAGAGATTCAGCCAAGTGCTTCAGGATCAAGTTAAAAATTAGAACCACAAAAGGAAGTAATTTCCGGATTATTACTCAAGCCACATGTAAACTGACAGTAAAAATGAAATGATAGATGGATGTGTGGTTTAAAAGTTGGCATGGAAGAATTGTAATCTTGGCAAATTAGATACCTAGGGTTGTAGTTTAAAACCACAATATTTACAGAGGAGATGCAAATGGTTTGTACAAGAGAAGATTCAGAAATTTCAGAGAGATAAGACAAGACAATAACACAGGCTAACAGTATCAATTTTTGCAGGAAGTGGCAGAACATAAACATAAGAGCACCAGCAAATAAGGTCAGAATAAAGAAAAATGGTGAAGGGACAGAATTATAGGTTCTTTATGAGCAGACAGATGATGATTTGGTTGCTCAAATACAAAGTACGATACGATAGCCAATTCAGGGACAAAGTTACAAAGTGACCATGGCTGGGATCTGATTAAATCAGGACAGGAAATGAAAAAAGAACGAAGGATGAGATCAGTTCAGTAATGAGAAATGATCTTGGTTCAGAACATCCAAAGAAAGTCATTGACAGGAATGGCTACCAGTAATAATTGAGATTTTAATTTTCATATAGTTTGAATGAATTGAATCAAATGTAGCTTTAAGGATGAGTTGTATTCATTGATTGTATGACCAGAACAATACATTTTAGAAACAATCAAGAAACAGGTTACTTTAGCTTTAATTAATTCTGTCTCATTACACACTACCAGTGAGCCCACAGCAAAGGATCCTCTAGATAAAAATGAACAGAACATGACAATTTCACGTCCAGTTTGAATAAGAAATTGGGGCTCAAAGTTAGTGTTACCTTTGTAATTGCTTTTATTAGAATTTAAAAGACAGATTTCGTTAATGTAGTGGGAAAATAAAGTAAAAGCTAGTCAGTAGCAAAGCTGTGGCAGACTTCTAAGGAGAGATTTCATAACTCTCAAAAGGTACATTCCATGAAGGCAGAAGCAGGTGCACCATCTGCAGTTAAGGATTTTAGGATGGTTTATAGAGGAAGATCCAATAGCTGCATAGCTTAGTGCTAATCCCTATGACTGTGTCTGGACATACAGTATAGAAACAGACCCTTCAATCTAACTTGTCCGTGCTGACCAGATATCCTATAAATCTAGTCCCATTTGCCAGCATTTGGCCTGTATCCTTCTAAACCCTTCATTTTCATATACCCATCTAGATGCATTGTGTAATATTATAATTGTACCAGCCTCCACCACTTCTTCTGGTAGCTTGTTCCATACACCCTCTGAAAAAGCTGCCCCTTAGGTCCCTTTTAAATCTTTCCCCTCCCACCTTAAACCTATGCCCTCTTAAGTTTTGGACTCCCCTACCCTGGGGTAAAGGCCTTAGCTGCTCACCCTACCCACGCCCCTAAGGATTTTATAAACTTCTATGATCACTCCTCAGCCTCCAACATTTTAGGGAAAATAGCCCCAAATTGACAAAAAAAAACTTTAGAAACTGGCAACGGTTAAGTGGGTGGGCAAAAAAAAAATGTCAATAGATTATGAACATGGAAGAACAGAAGGTTTTCTGAGGAGGAAAGGTTCAGTAAGATGGGCTTATATTCATTGGAGTTTAAAAAGAATGATAAGAGATCTTATTGAAATTTTAGATTGCGGGGGCGGGGGCTGACAGGGTAGTTGCTGAAAGGTTTCTGACACAGTAGGAATCCGGAGATCATGGTGACACAGCTTACAAAAAAAAACAAAACTCCCACTTGGATGAAAATAAAAGGAATTTCTCCTCAGTCGTCAATCCTTGAAATTCTCACAAAATGAATCAATTGATTTTTAGATAACAAGGTGTAGTGCTGGATGAACACAGCAGGCCAAGCAGCATCAGAGGAGCAGGAAGGCTGACGTTTTGGGCCTACACCCTTCTTCAGAAAATCATTTTCTGAAGAAGGGTCTAGGCCCA